TGATCCAATGGCTTTTTTTTTTTTTTAACCAGTTTTGCTACGTTGCCAGATAATTTAACACATTTTTGACAGAATGCTGCATGGCATTTTGTCATTTGCGTGGTTGAAAAGCACAACAGTTTTTGCACCAATGAAAACCCATCAACACTGCTTCTATCAAAAGGGGGGCACCAAATTATAGCAAAACAGCTTATTTCTTTTTGAAATTATTTTTCCCACTTAAATTAGGTCGAGATGTCAATATGTGGAGGGCATGTTCGTCTCAATTAGGGGCACGATGCATACATTTTGAGTTAGGAGATACAATAAAACTCTGTACAAATCGAATACTTTATTCTTAATTTTTGAATAATACATACTTGATCTGACAAAACGTAGATTCACATTAAAAAACATTTCTTCATTTTGCTCATCATTTTAATCAATTTGATTTCAAACAATTATTTTATTAATATTTCACTCACCACAAGAAAATAAGTATTTACGTTTAAAGAATTTATATTTGATTTGATACAAACAATAAATTCAAGTAATTGAAAGAAAAAACATATAACAAATATTCAAAATTAATAATCAATTAAATAAACAAAATTCGTTAAATAAAAGTCAAATTGGACATAATCATTTCAGACTCATTCTGTACACACAATTTGATATAAGAAAATGCAAATTTAAATTCTAATTACTTGAAATTTTGATTGGAAAGTGAATATTTGTAATATATGTAATAATTTGTTGAGAAATTATAGACAAATTTTAAAAAATTAGAAATGTTAAGATTTTAGTAAAAGACATGAGGGAGAGAGTCGCAAAATCAAGAGAAAAGATAAAAAAAAATTCAAATTTATTGTAATTTTTCCCTTATTTGGTGGGAATTAAAATCATATTTTTAAAAGATTTTGATAAAAGTTGAAATGATGTTAATTCCATAAAATATATTGTTAAAACTAATTGTTAACTTTAATTTAGATTAAATTTTAGATTTCAATCGATACCAAGTAGAACTTTATAAAAGAAAAAAAGAAAAATAAATAAAAAATAACATAAATTTGGGTCACATGACTCCCCAAGCCGCCCCGTGTCCGCCTTCCCAACCCGCCTTAGGCTTTGACGTGTATGTATTTTTGGTAGTGGGTGAAATTTTAGACGTGGGCTTCATTGATATTTTAGTTGCAATTATGATGATTTTGACGTCATGTTTATTAATGTGCATAAGCACATTTGAATAGATGGCTGCACACATTATTGTACAAAGAAGGGAAAATCGTAGTCACGGTCTCAAACGCCGCCAACATGGCCACCAAATCTGTCCTCCTCCGCCCTCGCCCTCCCTTCATTTCTCTTTGCGGCCTCTTTCCCAAATCAACAATGAATAATGAAACCAGAGAAGTGTTTGGAGATGTACACTTTGGAAACTTCGAGACTATGGCGCAAAACTTTTTGATCTTTGCTTTCAAGATCTCAAACTTCGGTAACAAAAACAAAATCCTCAGATCCACTCGATAATGGTGAAAATGAATGAGTGCAAAAGAAAGGAAAAAGATAGACTTACAAAACTATTCATTTACAGAATAGTTACAGAAACAAAATTTTTCTAAAATACCCTTTACATATAATTTGCAATTAGGAGCCACTATAAGAATATAAAAACTTCAAATTAGACCCAAAAANTTTTTTTTTTTTAACCAGTTTTGCTACGTTGCCAGATAATTTTAACACATTTTTGACAGAATGCTGCATGGCATTTTGTCATTTGCCTGTTTGAAAAACACAACAGTTTTTGCACCATGGAAAACCCATCAACGCTGCTTCTATCAAAAGGGAAGGGGGGGCACCAAATTATAGCAAAACAGCTTATGTAAATTAGGTCGAGATGTCAATATGTGGAGGGCATGTTCATCTCAAGCAGGAGCACGATGCATACATTTTGAGTTAGGAGATACAATCAAACTCTGTACAAATCGAATACTTTATTCTTAATTTTTGAATAATGCATACTTGATCTGACAAAACGTAGATTCACATTAAAAAACATTACTTCATTTTGCTTATCATTTTAATCAATTTGATTTCAAACAATTATTTTATTATTATTTTACTCACCACAAGAAAATAAGTATTTACGTTTAAAGAATTTATATTTGATTTGATACAAACAATAAATTCAAGTAATCGAAAGAAAAAATATATAACCAATATTCAATATTAATAATCAATTAAATAAACAAAATTCGTTAAATAAAAGTCAAATTGGACATAATCATTTTAGACTCATTCTGTATACACAATTTGATATAAGAAAATACAAATTTAAATTCTAATTAGTTGAAATTTGATTGGAAAGTGAATATTTGTAATATATGTAATAATTTGTTGAGAAATTATAGACAAATTTTTAAAAATTAGAAAGGTTAAGATTTTAGTAAAAGACATGAGGGAGAGAGTCGCAAAATCAAGAGAAAAGATAAAAAAAATTCAAATTTATTGTAATTTTTCCCTTATTGGGTGGGAATTAAAATCATATTTTTAGAAGATTTTGATAAAAGTTGAAATAATGTTAATTCCATAAAATATATTGTTAAAACTAATTGGTAACTTTAATTTTTAGATTTCAATCGATACCAAGTAGAACTTTATAAAAGAAAAAAAGAAAAAAAAATAAAAAATAACATAAATTTGGGTCACATGACTCCCCAAGCCACCCCGTGTCCGCCTTCCCAACCCGCCTTAGGCTTTGACGTGTATGTATTTTTGGTGGCGGGTGAAATTTTAGACGTGGGCTTCATTGATATTTTAGTTGCAATTATGATGATTTTGATGTCATGTTTATTAATGTGCATAAGCATATTTGAATAGATGGCTGCACACAGTATTGTACAAAGGAGGGAAAATCGTAGTCACGGTCTCAAACGCCGCCAACATGGCCACCAAATCTGTCCTCCTCCACCCTCGCCCTCCCTTCATTTCTCTTTGCGGCCTCTTTCCCAAATCAACAATGAATAATGAAACCGGAGAAGTGTTTGGAGATGTACACTTTGGCAACTTCGAGACTGTGGTGCAAAACTTTTTGATCTTTGCTTTCAAGATCTCAAACTTCGGTAACAAAAACAAAATCCTCAGATCCACTCGATAATTGGTGAAAATGAATGAGTGCAAAAGAAATCCTATTTCGATAGCTATGTACTCAATTTCTGTCAATATATTATTGCTTTCTTCTAGCCCAATGCACTACAATGGCGTATTCCCCAAAAAGATGAGAAGAAATTTCAATTCCAGCAAAAGAAACCCGAGTTGATCTTCCTCCCAAACCCTGGAATCAATTTCAGAATCCGGCAAATCTTCTAAAGTTCCAACCAGAAAGTCGATAAAGATTGCTACAATTTCCTTTTTATTGATAGTAGTGTCAAACAAACGTTGCAGCTTTGGAAGTGTGAAGACCTCTATAAGCAGTGGTTTGCAAGAGGAAAAGGAGTTGTACAAATTCTCGACAATATTCTCCCAGGCTGTCAGTTTGAAACCTTAGAATTCTTCCGCCTCTTCGAAGAATCAAAACTTGCAGATCTCAAATCGTACTATCCTTTTCCACTAGATATCGCAGATAAGGTTGGAGTAAAGTCTGTAAAAAAGTGAAAAGGTTTGGGACTGCGACTACAATTATCCCAAGATATAAAGCTGTCTCTACAAGGAAAATTGTCAAGGAAATTGACAGTGTTGATGTCACGAATTTTAATCGACCGTTTTAAATCTGCTTTTTGCGCAAAAGTCCAATCAAATTCTGCTACTGACATTCTAGTAATTTTCATGACATTTTTCCTGGTACATATAGCATTTTTCTTGTATCGTTACTTTGATTGTTAATACTTGTCTAACAAGTGGCTCACACTAATAAGCAAAAAACTTCTTTTTTGGGTTCGACTTGTCATCATATGTGAAATAACAGACGATATAAATTTAGTAACACTTTTCTCGAATTTTTTGCAGGAAAGGGATAATACTTTTGATCCAAATATTTGATTGATTTCGTGCCCTTCGTTTAACAAGAAAATGGGTCGAGTTCAACATTAAATACTCCAGATTTTTTTAGGAGAAAATTACCTAAAACAAGGTATTTAAGTTTTTAAATTCAAAAATCAGGTGTAATGCTTATTTAATCAAAAATCAAGTTTTAATTAAATTAATAATTAAAATCCTAATTAAAACATAATTTTCAATCCCTCCGTCTCTCACTTCTCTCCCTCTCCCTCTCTCACGGCGACTGTACCATATCTGCCGATGGTCTTCTCTCTTCTATCTGCATCGTATGTTGCTTCATCGAACAGAGAAGAGAAGGTTCACCGAGCACAACTGGAGGAGCAACGGCGCTCAGAGCATCCTTTGCACAGATCGGAACAGCTGCGTAGATCCATGGTCTTGTTCTTTTCCT